AAACATTTTTGCAAACTTTTCCTTGATAGTACTGATGAGCATTTCTAATGGGATTTTGTAGTAAATTTAATGGAATTTAAATAAAAATTAATGAATTTCATTAAAATTGGAAGCTGAACTTCTAACCTTATATGTTGTCTGAATTTGTAAACAAGATCTCGTCTTGTTTAATATCAGCCCAGCCTTCAATGACAGCAATTAATCTGCAGTTAGCTGTTGATATACGAGACCAACTTAGCTCAGCACACAGAAATATATAGTAATTACTAAGACAAATATGTATAGGATGTGCACTGATTTCCAAGTGTTCCATGATAAATTTGTGTCTAGCATCCTAGCCCCACTAGCAGACAGACATACTCGGATATTTCATACCTGTATAATGAAAACAACATTAAAAGGTTTAAGAAATAACTATCTATTTTGACCCATTCAATCTTTAACCATTCGTTCTTAAATGTGAGTAGTATAAGTTGGAACAAAAATTTAAAAGCCGAAATATTAAAATTTAAAAAAATATCAGCTTCAGTTCCTTTCCCACTGCCTTGACGTAGCTTCCCTCAGCCTTTTCTATAAACACTTTCATGGTAATTGTTCCGATGAACTTTGATGTACCTCGACTGTATGAATAAAAATATATACGGAAAAAACAAACAAAAATCCTTATATATAATTTATACTGTTTTAATGTTAATATGTCAAATTCGGACGTTTTGGTCTAATAAACCATCTTCAGGACATATTCATAAATTATAACATTATCAATGCAACATGACAAAAAGACGATGTACATAAGAACAAGACTTATCCAAACAAATAACTGAAAGTTTTATAAGATCAGCGCTCCGTTTAAAACATGGTCATTCTTTTTTCACGTATTACGTTTGTGAAAAACGTATTCCTAAAATTTGAGTATTTTGAATTAAAAATGAAAAGAATTCTATTTTGAACTAAAATTTATATGTATGCTTGTAGAGCATTAATCTCGCTAGAAAAGGGGAAATACTAAAGAAGCCAGGTCTAGTATTCACTGTGTGTGAGATAGATATTATACCTGCTTCATAAATCCGCCTAAGATTTTTATTATGAATATAAGTGCAGTACTAGCAAGGTCTCACCAATTAAGAGTTAAAATGGCTAGATGTAAATGTAAGTTCTATGCTAACAGTTTCTTCAATCACACTTCTTGCTTGTGGAACTCTCTTCCGGCTTCTTGCTTCCCAGTTAACTTTGATCTTCAAAAATTTAAATGCAATGTCAATCATTATCTTCTCTCTTCTTAATTTGTGTTCTTTTATAATCTTTTCTCCTTAATAGTAATTATTCTCATATTCTCGAACACTCAGTAAAACCTTGTATCCTAGTGGCTGTATTGCCTTGCTTGGGGTGAAATGATTAAAAAAAAAAAAATTAAGAAATACTAAAATAGATAAATTGTAATATCATTTTTAAAAGAATCACAATTTCAATCTTATTTAAACATTTCAATTAAGTCACCTTGAATTATTTTACACTGAAATGTTCTAAATTTTCATGTGCAGAGTAACTTTTCTTATTTTTTAAGAAACGTGTTCTATGGATTCATTTTTTGTATAAATGATATAAATCCTTTCTAACTATTTACAATCAAAGAAGTTTTAAAGATTTTATTGAAAGAGATTTTCATCTGCTTTGTGTGCTGATTAAAATTTCTGCATTATTATTTTTTAAATTTTCACTTGGGCAATAACCTTTGTGCTGAAAGAAAAAAAAGGTAAATTTTCATTTTAACACCCGAGCATCATTTACTGCTGAACTATTTTCTTTCAGAAATTAGTACGCGTTTCCGTAAAGCGATTTTTTTTGTACTTAATTTAAGAATAAAGTTAACTTTCAAATATATATAAACATCAACAAATATAAAAAGAAATTTTTTTTCTAACCCAAATTTAAAAGTTAACTTTATTCTTTAAAAAGAAAAAAGAATAACCAAAAAAAAAAAAAAACACCTAACCCTAATTTGAAAGTTAACTTTATTCTGTAAAAAAAAACAAAAAAAAACACCTAACTCTAATTTGAAAGTTAACTTTATTCTTTTAAAAAAAAAAAAAAAAAAAATCACCTAACCCTAATTTGAAAGTTAACTACAAGGAATTACTGTGAAGGAAGTAAATAAGCCCAAATTGTATACGTCCACCGACAGGATTCAGCACTTAATTACTTATCAATAAGGCGGTAAAGGATGACAAAAAGAGCAAGAAGTTCAATGTTTTTCTGGTTGTTAACATCCAAAAAGCTAGGTTTCTTTAATATCTAATTGTTGATTTGAGTTCAGCATATACATTTGCAGGGAAATAAGACTATTTTGGAAAAATTTGAAGGGATAACACCTTGAGTGTTGAAATGAAAATTACCAAAAAAAAAAAAAAAAAAAAAAAACATGACAAAGGGTTTTTTTTTTCTCTATTAATACCTTCACTCCATAATTTATGTTTATTGTTATAAAAAGTGACGATTAGAATTTAAATCAAACTTAAGCATATGACAAAAGTGAATTTTAGGCATGTTTTTAGCGTTCGAAAGTTTATTTTAATTATTTTTAAAAATTTTTCCTTCTTTTTAGAACATTCTAAATTTTGATTAAAAAAACCTTGTTTCTCTTTGTATCACTGGAACTAGTAAAATAACAGACAATTTTTAGCATGTGTTTTTTTGTATGACACACATTAATTTAGAAAATCTTGCAAAAATAAAAATAATTGTCGGATGTTATGAAACTTTCAGGAACTATTCACAGATGATCGAAATTATTATAAATACGTTTTTTTATTAAAGTCATGGCAGAAATATTTTTTTATATATTTATTAACCCCACCCCATAACTAATTTATGAAAACGCTAGAAATTCGATCGCATCAGGTTTAATGATTACAATAGTTAAAAGCACAAGGCTTTGAGGAATGCAAATCATGTTTTTTTTTATTTTAAATTGGACCCCCTACCTGAAAATCAGCTCTGAATTGTAACATACCAAACTCAATAAAACAAAGATATTATTTAATTTCAAGTGCTTTTATTTGCTTTTAGTTGTTTTTATGAATATGGACAATATTTTCGATGAAAAATGAATTTTTAATACAATTATTTGTTATTTCTTAATTATAATAGATTTTTACATTTAAGTTGTTAAAATATTATAAAATTAGTTAAAAGCCACATCGGGTTTCCTACGTCTCCTTATGAGAGATCTTTTTTTAGCACATTGTAAATTGTATCATTTTGACTAATCAGAAGATCCGCAGTAATTAAGAAATGTAATTTTGTGTTTATAATCAGGCTGTAATTATAAAAGCACGGAAGACCAACCAGAATACAATTAAATTTTAGTTATTTGAGTTAAGCATTGTTCTCCACTGTTAAGGCCTTTACTTTTGCAAAAAATGTGGAGAAGTTAATTTGATTTTTCAATTTCAACTGAGAAGGGTACCTACAAGTATCAGCATCATCTTATGAAATTTATATGATCTTATTTTTATATTAATCTCAGTTATGACATTTTTCCATAAAAAATAATAAATAAAAGAAATATCAAAATTAATAATAAAATGAATGGAAATACAAATAACACAGTAAAATGTAATAAATGTACATAAAATTATAGTATTTTATATACACTTCTGATAAAATTTCATAAGAAAGGTACCTATAAATCAGATACCTTTCTTATGAAATTTAATCTCACTCTTAACAATCTTATTTTAATTTCTTTATAATATATTTTCCATAAACGTAAAGGTGAAAAGCTAAGAAAAAGAAAAAATTAGAGCGCTGAAAGTTTTCCTTAAAAATAACGAGGTAAATAATTTGTTCACTTAAATGTAAATTATATCACTTTTCTCCTTCCATAGAACAAATTAGCCTCACAGAATCCATCAATATGTCATTCATCACCTGTCAAGTGATGCGAAAGTTTATGACTGCTTTGTTTTATTTTCAAATTACATCTTTTCAGTGCAAAAGCTAAGTTAAGGAAGCTTGATTCAAAATATTTTAAATAAACATTATAATTTCTGATTTTCTTAAAATAAGTTTTGAAAAAATGATAATTGATATTTAAAAGAATTTCAAAGTGAGATTTCCAGTTTTTTTATAAGATGGAAAAAAATGGTCAATTTCGGATGTGCTAGGAACGATTAAAAAAATGTAAAAAAATACCCCCAAAATACTTTGATCTTTTCTCTTAATAATAACATAAACATTTAGACAATAAAATTTTGTTTTCGTCAAGTTTGGCGTCTTTTTCATCATGCTATGCTCTTTTTTTAAACGATCTCGTGGGGGTACCTATGTTATTATTACTAAGTCTTTTCAAGTAGTTGTTTTTGTTATTTTCATTTTGTAAATAATCATGCTTTTTAAACCCCAAAATTTAAAACTCAAAACTTGGTTTACTTTTTAAATATCGCGCATTTAAATAAAAGTTTGCGCATTGCGCGGGCAATAATCAAGACAGGTGAAGCTTCCGCGCATGATTACTCGAGGCAAACGTATTATAAACAATGCCAGCAATTGCTGCCGGGCTGTGGTCACAACGCAAAATAAGACCGAAATTATATTGTAAAATGGTAGATTTCCGCAAACTTTTGTTATTTTCGAAATAAACATGCAAATTTACACCCTAAAAATTTTCTCGAAATTTTAATAATTACAATTGGTTTGCAAGGTTTTTACTTTAATCTGCAAATTTTAGCCATGAAAGGTAAACGCATGAGGTGTGTTTTACATCTTCGTAGTCGGTACTAAATTTTAAAAGCATAAATCAATTTGAGAAAAAAAATCTTATCAAAATTTTTTTTAAGTCTTATTTACAATATGAGCTCGGATAAAAAAATTCTATAGGATTTTTGATTCAAAAACAAATCATTACAAAAAGAGTCACCCTTCTTTCGTTTTTGTTAACGAACCGAATAAAAGCCAAAAGAATGAATTAAATTTTCAAAAAACAAAGAATGGATATTTACGATTCTTCTTCAGTTCTTCCAAAAATGTTTCGTCGACATAATTGTCGTTTACTCCTTGATCTTCGTACAAAATCTTTTTCCACTTCGTCGCAGGGATTGACGTCTCCATTTTCGAAGCGGTGTCAAAACACGACAGTTCCCCTTTTAATGTTATTCCGTTAAACAAATGGTTATTTCGACATGATGTGATGATTGTGTAATAAATTAATAGCAAGCTTCTCTCACTAGCTTGATTGCCGACTTTTTTAGTAATAGTAATGAAAAATATGCGCCATAATTTAGGCCTTGTGTCACGTGTACGCTACGCTTAGTAAATCACTATGTGGTCACTTAAAAAATGGTTATCATTAGCAAGCATGTCGCACTAACCGTTTTCTTCATATGTGATTTTTTTTCTTTAAATAAAAAAATGAATGATGGGTAATTATTTGTAATTTAAGCCCCGTGCTCAGATTTTATTAAAAATTTCCCGAATAGTTACATTTAGTTTTGGATTTATCGACAATAAAAGTTTGGACTCATTCGCATCTGGTCCGTCCGCCATTACTGACGTTGTTTTCATACGTTTGCCTCGAGTAATCAGGCGCAGAAGCTCACTTAGTTAACGGCCTTTTTACTGACCTTACTCGTCTCAATTACTGCGCAAAATCAAACGAAGTCTTTAGACACTTTTGAAAGGGAAGCTTGTATTGATTTTTTTTTTTTTTGTAAATTTAAGTAATTTATAAAATCAATGACAAATGTTGTTTTTTTTTATAGTGAAGTTTTTTTTTATTTTTTTATAATAAAGCTTTTATAATGAAGCTGTAATAATAATAAATTCTCCATTAAATAATAATAAAAATAATAATAAAACAAATTAAATAATAAAACAAATAATAATCATGCTCTTTTTAAATTTTGTGCAAAGTTTGCACATTGCGTGCACATTAATCAAGACAAGTGAAGCTTCCGCAAATGACTACTCTGAGGCAAATGTATAAACAAAGCCAGTACTGGCAGCCACAACATGAATGAGTCCAAACTTTTATTGTTGATAACTCTAAAATGGTAGATTTTAGCAAAATTTCATTCTTATTTTAGAATTAAGTATGTAAATTTAACACCTAAATATAACTATTCGGGAATTTTTTATTAGAAACTGAGCGAGGGGCTTAAACTGCAAATTACCCAAATCGATTATAAATACATGGCCCTATCCTTCAAAATGGCATTATTTACATATGTGTCTGCAATTATGTCTAGATTCAATGTTATGGCATTGTAGTGGTGCTGTAAGTATTGTTGGCTAGGTCACCGTGAATATAATAAAGAAGGAAGGCTGTGTTCTTGTAAAACAACACCCACATGAATAATGCACAACAAACACGAGAGAAAAAATAATCAAGCTCAGTGAACATTAATAAAATATTGTATTAACAATGATATACAAATATCAACAATAGTATAAAAAAGTTGCTTCCCTTTTCCGTAATAAAAAGGGTAAGTTTTTGCTAATTAATGTTGAGTACAATATTGAATGTTATTTAACTACAAAGTTCAATTGAAGTCTTAGCTAAATAAAGAATAGTTCCACAATGTTTTATCAGTGTAGAAAAATGTAATGTTCATGAGTGATATCAATAGGAATTAGTATGATTACTCGATTGAGTGATAATTAAGAATTAAAATGTCAATATAGCGCCGTGCCTTATTTTCTAAGAATTGAACTGCTGCTGACTGTTAGCAAACAGTGAGAGTCTTTATATAATGATGGATAGGCTCCAGAGAGCTTGGCGCTAAAAATATAGAAAAGATACTAAAATACGCGATTGGTCAGGAAATGGACCAATCCGTGATTTTAGAGAAAATTTCAAATTACCTGCGATGGCAAAATTGTCATATGATAAGTATCATATATTTACAAACCAATGATATTGAAGGAAATGGAGGTGTGGCACATGTAAGTGATCCCCACAGTATCTGTGCGTTCACATCTAACTTGTTTTTGTTTGGTTTGGTTTGGTTTGTTTTACGGCATATCAACATCTCAATGGGTTATTTAATGCTGACAAAATTTTTATTGCTGGTAATATTTTGTTTTGTCAAAAATCTATTTCTGGTAATATTTTTCCTTATTGCTGATAATAATTTTTTTACAAAAATGTATTGCTGGTAATATTTTTTCCTCAAAATTTATTACTGGTAATAGTTTTTTTCTTCAAAAATTTATTGCTTGTAATAATTTTTTACAAAGTATTTCTGGTATTAAAACCTATATTTACATTTTTATAGTGTCTTTACCCCAGTTTTGGGGTTAACTATTTGCCCATAGCTGGGACCCTAACAGGTGCTACCACCCTAGGTCTAGGTGGACCGGGGACACCAGCAATTAAGAGGTGATTTCATGCTCCTCAAAACCTCCTGATCAGAGGCCTTGCTGTTGGACATAGTTTATCATCTTACCCAAGATGTGGATGTAGTTTATCGTCATACCCACGATGGATTTTTGTTTGGTTACCTCTGGGTCGAATGAGATGTTCAAATCAAAACAGGATTCATTTGTTAATTTTATGCTTGCTTTATTACAGTATAAAAAAAAAAAGAAAATGAAAGAAATAAATGACTATACTTAAATTTTGACCCTATTTTTTTTTTTTTTTTTTTGAACACACTAGTTTCGGCTGGGATGAAAGCATAGTATTTGTTTTCTTTCCATTTGAGATGGGAAAAGGCGCCCAATTCAGTGGATTCCTATCCAACAGAAGCACCTTCTTCGTTGCTTTAAGAGAAGTTGGGTCAGTGGGGATTGGCCAATTTTTGTCCCTGACCTGTATGCATAAGTATGTCTTGGCACCCCACATTAAAAAAGACCACATGTCACAATCACATACTACCTTAGTGGAGCAACCAGAAATACTATCAAACCGGGATCAAAGCGTAATATCTGTTCTTCAACTCTGTTGTTTATGTATTTGGACAGTTCAAAGAAATGCTTTGCTATGCTGTGACACTGGAATTCCAACATTGTGCCAGCAATATATTTCCTCCCTGCACTAAAGAAGTCAATTTTTCTTGTATTTTCTTGGATACTCAAAGGTTTTGGTATTATATATTTGGATTAATTATTATCATTATTGTCATTATATTTTTATTTATTATTATTGTCAAAATTTTTTTCTTTATTATTATTGACAATACATTTTTTTCTTTATTATTATTGTCAATATATTTTTTTTATTATTATATATTTTTGTCAATATATTTCTCTTTATTATTGTCAATATATTTTTCCTTGGTGTTATTGACAATATATTTTTTTCATTATTATTATTGTCAACATATTTTTTCTTTTATTATTGACAATATATTTTCATTATTATTATTGTCAATATATTTTTTTATTATTATTGTCAATATATTTTTCTTCATTATTACTATTATTGACAATAATATATTTTTCTTCATTATTATTACAATATATTTGTCAATATATATATTTTTTCATTTTATTATATATTCTTCAATATATTTTTTTTCATTATTACTATTATTGACAATATATTTTTTTCTTATTATCATTATTTTTATTGTCAATATATTTTTTCTTTATTATTATTGTCAATATTTATTTTCTTCATTATTATCAATATATTTTCTTCATTACTATTATTGACAATATATTTTCTTCATTATTATTATTGTCAATATATTTTTCTTCATTTTATTTATTATTTTCAATATATTTTTCTTATTTTTATTACTATTATTGACAATATATTTTTCTTCATTATTATTATTGTCAATATATTTTTCTTTATTATTATTGTCAATATATTTTTCTTCATTATTATTATTGTCAATATATTTTTCTTCATCATTCAACATTGAGGAGAACAATTATTATTATTGTCAATAATTTTGCTTTTTTAAGTAGAATCTTCTAATTATTCCAGATTTTCATTTTGTTGTTGGTTCATTGATTTTCAATTTTAGTTGTCATATCATTGACAATATATTTTCTTTCATTATTATTATTGTAGGTTTATTTAATGCCAAATTCTAAAAAGTTTAAACACAATTTCATGGCCTAAACTAAATACATTTTGAAAACAATTGTATGCCTTCAACTACAGATAAAATATATTGTTGATAATTCTACTATAAATAAATATTTTTGGTATTTTTACTACAAAGTATATTTTTACAATTTTTTTTTCAAGGTTCCCTATTTGTCAGTAGTTGATAGAACTCTGTCAGGGTGAACGTGGGAACAACAGCAATAAAGTAGTGGTTTGATACTCCTCAAAAACTCCAATCAGAGATCTTGCTGCTAGATGTATTTTATTGTCATACCCAGGAAGATTTTTAAAACCGAGTATTAACTTTTGTTTACAAATGTGTGAAAAATGGCTGATTTTAATGATTTTACTGAAAGAGACCAAAAGATTGAAATTCCAATCAATATAATTTCTATTTGAAATAAAATACACCAGAGTGTTTTGCTTACTGGAAATAGTAAATTTAATCATTTAGAGATTTTTAAAGCTAAAAAGAAAGCTTCAAGAATGCTTTTTCATTTTTAAAAAATCATTTTAAACTTTAGGTATCGAAAATTAGTAGATGTACTTAATTCATCTATTTGCTATTTTAACATTTTCAACCCTGGCCATTTAAAAATCTTCATTCTCATGAGCAACACGTGAACACTTCCTAAAATGAAAGGTTTCATTCTGTGTTTAACAAGTGAGCAACAGTCGAAGTAAATTCTTTAATTAACCCACACAATAAATAAATTATTACTCGTTCTGAGTTATTTTAGGCTATTAGATTCCAGTAGAACGTTTACTACTTTAAGGGGAATCTTAAAAGTAAAACCGATAAATTTTAAAAAGAAATAGTATTTGCTGCGTCAATGAGAAATTATTTCCCTCTTTCTGCTCTCCATAAATCTAAGTTACAGAAGCGGCTCATCCCGTAATAACGTCTTAAATTGAATTTTCTGATTTAAAAAGAAAATTGTTTTAAATTTTATATTCTATCGATTGTCAGGAAAACTAAAATAAAAAATCAATCGATTCATTTTGATAATTAATGCGAATTTTTCACTGAAATCGTCAGTGACTTCTT